GAAACGGCCGAACCATAAATTAGCCCACGGCGCTATTAACTCTTGAGTGATTTCTGGTCAAGGCTACAGCAGCGACTGATATGTGAACCAGTCCTGGCCCACTCGCCTTTGCCAACTCAAACTGACCGCCAGCATGGTTCACGGATGGTCAAACAACCACCGTCACCAACCACGGAGTTGCTGATGTTCCCATTTACCCAGTGCCCCTTTAAATGTATCGATATAACGAGAAAACATGAATACAGTATAACCGAACAACAAACGGCAAAGACGTGTTAGCACGGATGCCTGGGCCAAGTGAACCTTAAGGCGGTACCCCGGGGAACCAGAGTTCCCCGGGGTACCGCGTAATGTCCGTGATGCAGTCATTTTTAGTTTGTTGATGGTCGGCGATGCGGCAATCGACTCATCTCGACGAGCTGTACACTACGATGCACTATTAGCGCAAGCGTCCTCGCTGCGTTTCGACATCGCGGAGTAGCACCACCGACTGAGGGATTCAGTGGTTACCCCAGTCGCGGAGTTAAGTAACACCCCTGGAAAAAAAAAATAGTGTCCCAGAAATAAAATATTTCATTGCCTCGGCCTTTTGGTATTATTTGGTACCCCGGGGTACTGCCATAAGGATCAATTGATGAATCGGTAGCTCTTGCACAATCATCTTTCAGGTTTCGCAAGAAAGAAAACTTGATGTTTATATAAATAAACAATAGCCCGGCGCGGCCCCCCTCTTGCGTTGCAAATGGCACAACTGGTGGCCTCGCCGAGTGTGGAGCGGGCGCCATCCGCAGGCCGTCGCCGGCGATGCGCGGAGTGGCCAGGCCGAGCCATGGGGCGGGGGGGGGAGCCTCGTTCGCGCGATGGTGCGGAATGACAGGCGCACATGCGCGCACACGTGGTGGGAGACTTTCCCCCCTCTTCCTCCTCCTCCCACCAGACCCCTTGCCCTTCTCCACCCCCCCAAATCACAAAGACAAAGACCCCCCCCCCCCATATAGCCTTAACAGACTGTTGGGGCAAGTGCACTGATGAAGGGCCGGCACGGCACACGATGGCTGCCGTGGTCTCGCTAAAGGCTATGTTTACACACTGCACCACCTACTTGTTTGAGGCCTACTCGACCTTGCGGTTCAGATAATCGTCACTGGTGTAGGCCATGAGCAGGATTTTAACTCGGGTGGCTGGGTTCATGGCACAGCACGTCAACTGTTGTACTACCGCTCCCAACTCATCCATATACACACACACACGAAGACAAAGACTAACCCATATAATCATTACCATATAGGCTTTTGTGCGAAATACTTTTAGTGCACCTATGAAGGCTGGGACGGTGCATGGCAGGGTAATGTGGCCAGTTTCACACCTGGCTGCCTTTGTCTCTCCGGTGCTCATGCTTACATATTGCACCAGGTACTCATTTAAGGCCGAGTCGAGATAGAGGAGGCCCTACAGTGGTTTAGATATGCGTCACTGATGTTGGCCGTGAGCGGCATTTGAGCTCGGGTCGTTGAGTGCAGTGTGTTAACCACGATGCAACAACCCACTTAAAATAGACACATGCGTACTGGCACTGTGAGCTTTTTTACACCTCAGCCCTGCTCTCTTTCCCCCCCCCCCCACCTTGCCAACTCCTTTTTTTCTTGCTGTCTCCCTCGGCCTTTTGGCGAGCAGATGTTCACCACCAGGGAAAATGTTTGCCGAGGGTTTGGGAGTACAAATGAAACCGTTGTCTCTCTCAGCGTTGGATCCTTCAGTAACTTTAGACAGCGGAGCGGCATTTACTTTACAGCGACCAATTCATTTTGATTAGTTTTTTTTATATTTCTCAATCACATCCTCTTGCACAAACATGGCCTGCTGGCCACCGGTCTATAACGGAACTGATGAAATGGCTTAAACTAACTGCAGAGGTTCTTTCCACCAATGGCAGCGGCACGCCATTCCAGCCCGCAGTGTGAAATCAACACTGTCGAGTTCTTTCCGCGTCGCAAGCACTTGCGGCTTTGCTTTGTAACCAAGGCATTCCACGGACGATCGTCGATCGCAGTTGACTTTGCGCGGTGCCAGGGCTCGCCTCTCCCGTCGAAATTGGCGACCGCTCGTCACCCAGTGGGGGGCCCCATTGTGCGCAGCCAGCGGGGTGGAACGAATGATGCCCGCCGCGCTACTGGCAACAAATTGGGCGTTTCTGCAATAATTTTTTCACTTTTTGCAAATGGCCAACGGCAGCGGCGGCAGTGTTCACTGCCAGAGCATGCAGGCGGGCGGGCGGACAAGTGGGCGGTCGAGGGCGAGAACAGATGCTCTGGCCTCCGCAGGCTGGAAAAGCGGATTAAGTGCTTTTTGGGTTTGCATCGTGCCCTAAGCCATTGTTTACCCCATTTTCCAAAAGAGAGAAGATTACGTATTTAAGATTGCGTCTGTCACCCCAAAATTATAAACCGTTGCCAGTGCCAGCGACGGCGGAGCTTTTCCCCAAAAGTGGACCCCTCGATTTTCAGCTTTACTTGAACACAAAGTGCAAAGCTGTGTAGCCACTCCTATACGTGTGATTAAAAACTCAGTGTCACAATGGGGGAGGGGGGGATACACAGTGTGCGTAATTGCACCACCGTTTGTGTTCTCGTATCCTGCATGAAATTCCATATCGAGGGATTCTCAAATGTGATTATATCTTCGATGGCGTGAGTTGTAAATGTCCTTTTGCGTTAGTGTAAATTTCGAGTAGAACTAAGAATGCATGAGTGTATTGAGTTTTTCAAATGTTTTGATCCAAAGCCGAGTCCCCAATTGTTGACCCTGAACTGCTCAAGCTGTGCAGTTTATTTCATTATCTAGTTCATAGTATTTGCTAACAAAAAAAGTTGTCATCTCTGCGGAATCCTTGAAATCCCTCAGGTGCCTTAATTTGGCTCTAAGCTTTCGGCATTTCCCATACTCCTAAGGGTGCCTGGGTTTGACCTCCTGAGCCTCGGACATTTTCATTAATCCATCGGGTACCTTAGTTTGACTCTGTTGAGCTCTGACTATTTTACACTCACTCATAAATCCAGTGATTTGCCTTTGGTTTGGTTCCACAAGCCACCAGTGACTTCCGCCAAATGTTTAGCAATCAGAAGATGGTCCACAGTCTGCGTTCTAAATCAATGCGGCCCTTGAGATGATACCAAGCATCCCGTCAATTACTCCAATGCCGGGCAACACTCACGCATGGAGCACTATTTTGAAGTGTGTTTTATGTGTTCATTTAAATTTCCATGTTACCCCCACTGTGGGTGCTGTGTGCGACACGTTCCAGTTGCTTGGCGTCCATGCCCTGCCAAATAGCTCTCGGCAGTCAACATTGCGGCCAATTTGTACCCCTTGCGTAACTCTCACTGCAGTTTTTTTAATTCTGATTTCTGGTAATCAAAAGCAGTTTTTTGTTACGAAATATTTAAAAAACAAAACCGAATCGGATTAAATAGCCAACAAAATACTATGGTGTGATCCGCGTGGAATATTTCATTTGACAAACTGGCTTCCTTTTGAAATTATTACATATTTATTTGAGTAAAAACACATGAGCACGCCGTCAGCATTCTCGCAGAGTGCGCTTCTCGTACCAAGCATTGAATGGCCATTTGGCAGACCGTTTGGGCCCTGTGACTTGTAAGTTAGCCTCTGGGTCACAGTGTCTCTCATCGGGTCCACACATTTTCAGACATTGCACATGGCTTTTAAAGATCGCTGTCCTCCAAGCCATGTGTTTTGTAGCGTGTCAGCTTCAGATTTTTGCTGATGCGTTGTTGTAGAGTAGTTTTATTTTCGACTTACCTATGTTTAGTGGAGTTATTTGAATTTACTAGTTTTTTATAGCATTACCATTATTATTTATGTACATTTCGCATCATGAAAATATTAATTATTTAGTGTTGGAAAGCGATCACATGAGTAGTTCACCGACTGGTCCCAGGAATCTGAGCTCAATTTCCCGGTCATGGCTAACACAAAACCCGCACTGGCCAACTTGTAAAAGTATTGATAAGACAAACCCCCATGGCCAACGTGGCTTGAGAAGGCTGCCATTGAGTAGGTTGATGGAAGAACTTAAAAATGTTTCAAGCTTTTGTTGCCCGTTGCATTTTCTTAATATGGTGGTCACCGACACACTCCGGCTCTGTGCCAATTGAACTCAGTCCTGCGCTGCTGAGCACTCAGAAATGTAAAAATGTAACCAAATGTTGCCGAGCCAATAGCATGTAAGTGACCACCTAAGAAAATCAGGTTTAACGTAAGTGAGCCAAACTTGTCTTGCGATCAGAAAGCAGTTAAATGTTAACTTACCATTTGTTGCAAAGGATTTATACGTCCCAATTCAGATTCTATCGAACTTTTTGACGTCTCAAATCTAAAGATCACGCGAGTGCAAACACACTTGCTAATATGGCACGTGGAAATGGCGTGCCAGTGCGCTCACAAGTCTCTCGCGTGTCCAGCCAGAGTGATAGCGTTTCCTCCCTTCATTAAGAAGCATCGCGGCATGACTCAACAACCTGACCCTACTTGTGCCCTACTGAAATTTAATGTTAAGCAGGAGGACGGCTTGTTCTTCACTATTTTAAGGTCTCGTCCCGTTTCCTTAAACCACTTTGCAGTCTCCATGGCTCACACCGCAAAACCAGCCCGGTACGGGCCTGCAGGGTTACCGAGTTCACCAATCGATGGGCAAGCCGTAATTTAAGAAATGCTGTAAATATTGCCACGCCCGGCACCAAAGTAAGCATTAAACGGACACAAAACAGAAACCAGTGAGTGCGGCGATGAAAAACAAGGTTCATAGTTATTACTTTCTTAAACTGACGTGGTCAATTTTTTGTTGTTGCGCTATTTGTGAATTGTGCCTTAATGTGTTGCCATTTTCTCCTGCCCTGTCCCCCACCTCCTTTTCTCCACCCTTCTCCCCATTGCCGAACCCCCCCCCCCTACCCACCTCAAAACCCCGTTTTTATTTGTAGCCTACGTGTGTCAAGACCTCATGGAACAGTTTGGCCCTACGGAAAGGGCCCCTCCCATATTGGTCAAGCTGGTGGAGTCGATCGAACGTGGAGGTGAGAGCGAGGGGCCCGTTGGTTGTTGCGATCGAGGGGATGCGAGAGGGATTTTTATTTGTGTGTGGGAGATCTCGAGGGGAGGGAAGGGGGTTAGTGTCACAACGTTTGAAGCAGCGCAGGGCTTGAGGGACGGATTTTTTTTTGTCATGCGGCAGGCGCGTAATGAACACCTTGTTAGGCCACGCTGGAGTTTTGTGCCGAACCTCCATGGCGTGTTGAGTGAAGATTGAAAGTTGAGTGGGGGGGGGCGCTCTTGCTCAATTAAATGCACAGTGTAAAGGATGTGTGTGTGTATATATATAAGGTGCATTGCTACGAGAATAGTGGGCTACTGATGATTCTCCACTGAAGGTGTTGAGCATCCAATGCCATGAAGTTCTTACACGCCTAATAAAGAGGAGCCTGAATGTTGTTTTAAGGTAATGTTGTTGCGATAGCTAATCTGGCTGATTTTTACATTGCTGTTGTTCATTAACTGCCTGTTAAATTTAAATGGTCGACTGTTTTATATAAACATCTAATGAAGTTAGTTTAAACACATAATGATGCATTTATAGTGTTTGAAACCTATAACTAATAAGATCGCAAGTGTATACTTGAACTTCTTCTGTTAGTATGATTTAAAGTGTACATACTTTTGGACATTTGGACAACCACCAGGCACCGACATTAGCGCTCGGGTTATTTGTGTTGCATACAACAAAGTGCCCAATGACCATTTTAAAAGCTACATCCTACAACAGTAATGAACATGCTCATTATAAATGATATATTTACATCACAAACCATAAAGCGCTTTGAGATGCGGTCGCATTTAGACGTTGTTTATAAGCAAATATTCTTATATCGTATGTGAACAAGTGTGCACCTGACTTGCAGCTGGCGGGCCCATCGTCACTGACTGTCGCGTGTGTCTGTGTGTGTGTGTACGTTTTTGTCTCGATCCCTCCACCGTTTGTCTCCCGCTTCACTCGTCTCTGCCCGCGCGTCAATCCCTGATGCGTGGTCATCTGCGGGGGGAAAAGGTCTGGACTGCGAGGGGGTCTACCGCCACCCACTGGGCTCCCAGGGCGGCATGGAGCTCCTGCAGTCCCTGGAAACCGGTGAGTGTCTCGCATGCTCAATCGCCGCCGATGTACTCGTGGAAGTTTGCGTAAACTGCCGACGTAACGTTCGCTCAAAACTGCATGACCAATTCTGCGCTCGTACTTGCGTTTGGTTTGTGTCTTGCCAAACAGCAACAACTTGGAATCTAATTCTGTTTCATTCTGGTGCCTTTTTTTAGCACGTGAAATGTTCGCGAGCACACGTCCATTTGCATGAGCGTATACTGTCAGCACTTGACAACGGCGATGCAGAGAATTTGACATGTTAAGCCGAGACGTAGGAGGGTTCCACAAGATCGCAATGTTCTTGAAACGGTATTATTTATAGCTCATTGATTTTGGAGGAAGGGTCATGAGATTATGTAATATCGTGTCACATCCATGTAGAAAAGTTTTCATGACTGCAGGGATCTTTGGTTCTTTCGGTAAAGTCATCAGCTGTGGTTGTTCCACCTGATGACGGACGCTTGTGTTGCGCCCGAAACGTCGTGATTTAATTTATTTTATTTTACACCTGCGTGACTTTACCGAAAGAACCAAAGAGTATAAATTTCGATTTAAAGCTTTCGTGACTGCAAGGATTAATCTTCTTTGGTTCTTTCGGTAAAGTCACGTAGAATGAGAATAAAATAATAAATTGATAAAATAAAATAACACAATAATATTCTCACGACGTTTCGGCCACAACACAAGCGGCCTTCATCAGGTGAAGGGACGAGACTGTCTGGTATTGTGTTGTGGCCGACGTTTCGGCCACAACACAAGCGGACTTCATCAGGACAGCACTGTCCTACCAGACAGTCTCGTCCCTTCACCTGATGAAGTCCGCTTGTGTTGTGGCCGAAACGTCGTGAGAATATTATTGTGTTATTTTATTTTACCAATTTATTATTTTATTCTCATTCTACGTGACTTTACCGAAAGAACCAAAGAAAACCAGAGAGTGTGACAACTGCACTCGGAAGTACAGACTTGCGATGTTTGTATATTATGCAGACCAGCGGCCTAGTGTGCTTTTAGTATGGGCCATGGTGCAAATAATTAAACGGAGTCCCCCGTCCAATAAAACCCCCTCCAGCCTCTGGACCCACAGTGCAATTGCACTGCCTGCACTCAATAGCTGCTACACCACTAACGCAGAAAAAAAAAACGCTGTGCAGCAAACGCTCCGTCAACCACAAAGCGGCGCTCATTGCCTTAATATCCACCTTTTTTTTTAAACTTTGTTTGAGATCCATACTAGCTTGGCCTTAACGGCGGTGTCAACTCATGGAAACGAAAACCGTTTATGAAGTGACATTTGTACCAATCTGATGGGAATTGCCAAACCAAATGTAATCACTAATGAGATAGTACATACTAAGTGTTTTTGTTAACATTACACTTAAACACATTTTCTAGCATTGCACCACTTCGATGGCAATGAGAATCTGATTTGACCTTGGCCTCCCAATTGTTGACCTGTCCTTAAACGAATACCTAGTTCAGTCTGACTCGCATCCGACAGAAGCAAGCCGTGCATGGTGTTAACCAATACCCTACGCCCCGTTATGTCCCATGAGATTTGATGGCTGTGACGTACGCTCACATTTATCTTAGTAAAGACACCCACGCACGCGTGCATAATGTATTTGAAATGCGTCTACAACACGAACGGTAAACAAAACAAAAAATCGAAGCTGTTAACTGGGCGGCTGCACTTCCCGTGTCAGCACTTGCACGGTGTGGGTGGAAGTGTGGCATGTGTGGGAGGAGACCAGTGGCGTCGTGGTTAGCGCGCTACGCAACGGACCCGGCGACCCGAGTTCGATTCCCGTTCACTGCCAACACCAGTGACGATTATCTGAACCGGTCCAGGTCCCCCCCCCCTGGTTGACTCGGCCTGAAACGAGTACCTGGTGCGGTGTGTAAACATCACCACTGGGGGAGACAAAGGAGGCCGGGCGAAGTCTCCTCCCACCGCCTTCAGGAGTAGAGTATTGCGAGACATAAACCAAACCCCTGCGGACACTGGGTTATCGGCTGTCTACTAGAGTCCTGGGCGCCTGAGATTGCTTAAAACATCTACAGTGCAAATTTCTCTGAGCCACTTTGTGATGTATGTATGTCGAACTTCTTTCGCACCTTGCGTAGCCAACTTTGCTCATCCTGATTGCAGGGGAAGGACAAACTTAAACACAAATCAGTGTCGAGCGAGGTTTTCACTTAATGTGTTCTATGCAGCTCTGCTTTAGGGCTGTAGAATAGACGCGTGTAAGGATGCACGTTAAAAGCTGCGTGTGGTCAGTTCCATGGTAAAACAAATATAATTGAGATTCAGAACTTAATTTCACATCACGATCAACATTTGGTGCCTTCTTGGAGTTTCAGCGTTGCGGGGATCGCAAGATCTGTAGTTTGGGGGGACGCGGGGGGGGGTGAACTGCAGATTTAGTTCGTCCCCCTCTGAGTTCTCCCATCCACGAGAGGGCACTGTGGATGTTCTCTCAGCCCGACGCGCGGCCGTGGCGCTGCCAATGTGCAGCCGATGCCACCAGTGGGCAGCACCGGCAACGCCTGGCACACAAAGCCCTTGCCACACGGCGGCGGCGGCGGCATATTCATCCCTTGTGAATGTGGCTTTGTGCTCACGCGTCCTGACCGCTTTGTCGCCACTGCTGTGGAAGGAGGGGGGGGGGGAGGGAGGTTGCCTTGTGTCGTGCCGCTGCCATGGAGAGAAGAAGTGCGAATTAAAATGTTGATTGTGTATATTCTTTTTTTTTATTAATCAGCCGCAGAATTGCGCGTGCGCGTGCGTGCCGTGTTGCCACGTGCGTCGTGCACGCGTGTGGCGTTCGTCACCGTGCATTTTTACCCACCCACCCATCTTACCCAAGGAGCGTTACATTTAAAATATGTATTCGGCCAAAAAAACAATGCAATCACGCGGCAAGTGAGACAAATGCCATCGCAGTGGGAAGTATAAGTGTCTTCAAGGATAAGGATGATGATGATGAAGACGGGGGTCATTTTTTTCTTTGCTCACTCATTCGTAAACCACTTGCTGCCCCCCACCCCATCCATCCACCTCGCCAACGCAAGACAACCCAAAGCCACCGCTGTCTCATCCGTGTTCCCGATTGGTCCACCGAGACTCCGCGCGCGTCCAATCGGGAGAGGCGTTTGCTTGCACCGCAGCCAATAGCAGTGGGGAAAGGGATTTCGTGGTCGCCGTGGCAACTGCAGCTGCCTCTGCTCCGTGGCCTTGAGTGTGGCGCTCTTGAGCAGATAAAGCTCCCCGCCGCCCCGCCGGCCCTACACGTCTTTCTTTCTTTCAGCGAGAGCTGCAACGCTCTAAATAAGTGAATAAGCAAATTATTATTGAATGATGAAATAAATTAGTAAATAATACAAATGGAGGGCGATACGTGACAGCCCAGGAGGCGCGGAGTTTTTTTTATTTAAATCGCACAGTAAAGGATTTCCGTAGGCGGGGGTGGTGGGGGGGGTTCAAAGCATAAGTTCAAAAGCGAAGGATGGTTGCGTGTGCGTGTGCCCGTGTGTGCGTGTGTGTGTGTGCCTGCGTGTGGGTGTGCGTGTGTGTGTGCCCGTGTGTGTGTGTGTGCCTGCGTGGGTGTGCCTGTGTGTGTGTGCCCGTGTGTGTGTGTGTGCCTGCGTGGGTGTGCCTGTGCGTGTGTGCCTGTGTACCTGTGTGTGTTTGCCTGTGTGTGTGTGCCTGTGTGTGTGTGTGTACCTGCGTGTGTGTGTGCCTGTGTGTGTGTGCCTGCGTGTGTGTGTGTGTGCCTGCGTGTGTGCCTGCGTGGGTGTGCCTGCGTGTGTGTGTGCCTGTGTGTGTGCGTGTGTGCCTGTGTGCGTGTGTGCCTGTGTGTGTGTGTGTGCCCGTGTGGGGAGCGGTGGTGTAGCGGTTAGCGCTACGCTGCGCTACGAACCTGGCGACTCGGGTTCGATTCTCGCTCACGGCCAACACCAGTGACGATTATCTGAACCGGTCCCGGGCCTCCCCTAGGTCGGCTCAGCCTCAAATGAGTACCTGGTGCGGTGTGTAGTAAACATTGCCACTTGGGAGACAAAGGCGGTCGGGTGTGGTGCTGGCCACCCACCCCCTCGTGTACCGTGCCAGCCTTCATAGGTGCTCGCTAACAGCACTTGCCCCTACAGTCTGTTAAAGGTTATACAAGGGGGATCTCTGTCTTTGTGCGTGTTTCTAAATCCGTGTGTACAGTTGTAGTGTGCGACAGCAAAGACAGCAAGCCCCCGCAAGACAGGACAAACCAAATGCGGCCACAAACGCGACATGTTTATTGCTCGACATTTTTTGTGGTCAAAATTGCTCTTATTCACATGTATTAAAGACCCCTATTTAAATGAGCCTTGTGCTTTTTTTTTAAACACATGCTCGTGTAGCATACAGTGCACACGTGGAATAAGCGGGTGTTAATTATAGCACAACAGAAGGCCGTGGTGTCGTAATCAAACGAGCATTGGGGATGTATTCCTCCTCTGTAGGACGATTGCCATTGATTTAAACTAAACTTAACCTGTTTTGAAGCTTTCGTGACTGCAGGAATTACTCTTTGGTTCTTATGGTAAAGTCACGTAGAAAGAAAATAAAATGATTATTTTACGCAGAAATAAAATAAATAAATATTTCTACCCTTGCTACGTTACTTTACTGAAAGAACCAAAGCGTAAACTAAACCTATAAACTTTTTTTTTTAACCAGGTGAGGCCCACTGAACTTATACAGCTCTCTTTCAGAAGTGACCTGGCCACAAATGAAAGCTCAACGATGCGAATTTGCTCATAATGTGGAAATTTATAACAGCCAAATATTCTAAACGTGCGTTTCTTCATGTCGAGGGAAAAACTGGAGGAACCGGAGAAATATCCACGTGACCAAGGGGAGAGCAAACACGCAAACTCCACACATACAGGCATCAGGGTCGATATCGAACCCACGACCTCCTCCGTACCAGGCGAGGTAGTTAACATCTCAC